TTTAAATTGTTATCAGTACTGGTGATTTCTTCTTATAGATCCAATCAAGAAAGCACAGTTGGATTGGCAAAGGTGTTATAGAATTATAGGAGGCATTGCTTGAGGACTTCTCTATTTTTATGAAGATTCTCAATTATGAGTTATTCATCATGATCTCAAACCCAACAATATTTTATTAGATGCAGAGATGAATCTTAAAATTTAAGATTTTGGTATGGCAAAATTGGTTGCAACTAATGATCAAACTCATGATACTACAAGAAGGGCTGCGGGAACATAGTAAGTATAATACTCTTTGCATTGTCAATCTCAGCACTTCAAACACTTGGTACTTCATACACTTGGTAAATTGTTGATTATACTTCCATAAAATGTCGAATTATAGTGGGTATATGATTCCAAAATATATTAAATATGGACACTTCTTAATTAAGACAAATATTTTTAGTTTTGGTATAATGATTTTGGAGATTGTGTGTGGTCAAGAGAGTAGCTCTCCTCACCATGCAGAGGAAGGTGTGAGCCTTATAGTCTTGGTAGGTATATGAGGTTGACATGCATGAATTTTAAAGGTTTGTTTGGTTTATCTGTTCAGGAACAAGCTCATAGCAAATATCCAAAGTTAGGTAGGGTGGGGCATTGAGTCATGGAATCCGCAATTTCCCTTCCACAAGCTCCAGTTACTGAGCAGAGAAGGGTGGGAATTTTTATCGATGAATGTACCCAGACAGTTTAAGGACTTGTCTACTCACTGTTCTGTGTGCTTTCCGTCTACTTAAAAGCTGAGACTTTTCTAAAGATTGGTTAGAGGAAGATTTGGACTTGAACACGTCATGACTTTATTGGGCCACTGCATTCCCACATTTTCCTTTCACAGCCTCCAATTTCTGACAAATCTTTAAATGATAAAGCGGCTCACTAAAATAAAAGGAAAAAAAAAAAACCTATAATGTCAATTAATATAACAAATTGAGTAACTGTACCAAGCTGTATTTATAGAGCTTATCAACTCACACAAGCTTACCTGAACAAACCGAATAAGACTCCTTTAGGTTGGTACCATGCCTAGTACTAGGTTGGAGGAATACTTCTTGCAATTAATTGAGCCTTTAGTCAACATGACAATAAGTCCTTTAGGTTGGTATCGTGCCTAGTAAGGAGTTGGAGAAATACTTCTTGCAATTAATTGAGTCTTTAGTCAACATGACAATAAGTTCCATGACTAAATTTCAACAATTTAACTCCAGAGGAAACATGAAAATTTCTCTCAAATTTATTACAAAAAAAAAAAAAAAAAAAAAAAAAGAAGAAGAAAATTTCTAGGTCCGTTCATATAGCGACGGCCTGCAGGACTTTTCCTAAATATACAATGCAAGTTAAAGGCTTGTTTGCCCCAGCTCCCATTTAGAGTGAAATTGATTTACTCTTTTTTCAGCCAAATGGGATTTTCAAGACTCTTTTTGCTCTTACTATCCTCCGCTTTTCAC